CTGGAATATTTAGCGCAGCGTATGTACTGTCTAAATGAGAGTTTCCCTCTAATGAGCCGGTCTTTAGGTTGCGTGATGGTCTTTGTAAAACCTGCTGCTGAGGAACATTGTATCTAGAAGCATAAATTGCTGAAAGGATATCACAGCATAAATTAATATCACTATTTGTAACAGTAAGCATATTAGAGGTACATAATAACTCTGTAAAAACCACCGAGTGACTAATTAAAAGACCATTTTACAGAGTGATAGTTCACTCCAATTCTCACTGACCTGCAGGGAGCCTTATTGATGTTGATGCTTGATCCCCCCCCCCCTTACCCTCGTTTCATGTCGTTAGTCGTAGTCTCCTTTATAATAGCGGCTATTAGAGTTACGCACGAACAGCGACCTCAAGAGAGACTGAGCCACGCCCAAAGTATGATATTGGGTAAATGCAGTTCAGAAGGGAGGACTTAACGGTGCCTTACAACAAGTATAAGCGTAGTTCTTGATATTATGATACGCTGTATGGTTTTCCAGCCAAAAAAGGAAGGAAAGGAAGTAACAGATATAGGTCATTTGTAACCAGCCTATTGAATGTATCGGCCTACATGTTAATGGCTCCTCTCAGGTTTCGTAACCGTCATTTTCCTCCAACTCCAACTCTGAGTTCGTCTTCGCATTCCTTGACACTGTACATGATTCCTAGTAAAACAATTTCAATGCAATAACAAAAATATCATAAAACAATTTAGAAAATAATACAATCAAACAATTCCAGCACTGACCCATCAAGAATGATGTACACTTTTAGGCTAGGGTTTGAAACTCGCAGTTCATTAAGACATCCTGCTTCTTGACAAGGATGAAAATTAAAAGGACCTCATTAAGAGGAGTGTAAAACAATTGTTACACATTCCAATCTTGTTCAGAGATTCTTTGCTCACAGTAGGAGGAAGAAGTCTGCTACGAGAGGTCTAACGAGGTGTGATCGCAAGTACCCGGTTGATGCACATCCACGTCAGAAAAACTGAACTTGGTTACCTAATTGGTTACCTGAATTTCTTACCTAAGTCCATCACGATCCTGGCAACTAGAATTTTAATTTTAAACGTGTAGATGGGGCTAGAATTTGATAGAGTAAGTCAAACTTAAACTCACTTAATTACCTGGTTGGTTTGATCAGAGGTACTTGTATGAGTGTTCTTTCTGTAAGTAATAAATAATCGTGTCAATCAAGGCGAAAATCAAAACCTAGCTGCACGTAAGCCACAAAACACATGCCTCTGATTCTGAAATAGAGCGAAATATCGTAGCAATCCTTTTTTTTTTTTTGGCATTGTAATAAACCCAAAGTTAGTTTTCAACAATGTTATCAATCCACGGACTCGTCTTGTTTATGTCCTATGAAAAATTGTCGCTGAGATGGCGCTGGATTTAGTGTAAGCCACAAAAGAGTACAGTTTTCCTTTGCAGCAAATCTCGTGCAGGTATGGGAAAGTTCTTTGAGACAAATACATGGGCGTGCCATAAACATAACAAGATTTATATGTTTAAAAATTCTTGGTCTCGTGTTATTTATGGACAGTCAACAGCGTTCACACGAAGCCCTAAAATTTTATTCAGTGGTTACCTTGATCTGCGACATCGACAGATAAAAAGTATAGCAACTAGTAACAACACAAGTGCCCCGAAAACAGTCACTCCTGCTATGATCCCTGGCTGAGAGGACGAGCTGACGTCATCATTCTTCTGTTTTCCTCCTGAAACGGGTCGGGTGGCCTGAAAACAGAATAATCGCCCTTCAAAAACTAGTAAAACCGAGAAACCACTTTAAGACTACATCAATAAAGAACGGCCTATCTAGCCCCCACACAAACACAATTCATTTAAAGTATTGTTTTTTCCAACATATTTCAAGGACTTCGTTTGCATTTATACACATCTTTTTTTTTCAAACAATAACGATTCATGCGCGACACATGTTTCATCAAGGGGGAATCTTGCCAGAAAAGCTGCTGCTTGGTTTTGAAACATCAAGGACATTTGTGTTTTGGAAACAAGGCCGAGCTTCCATTATCCTATAAGTGCTGCTCAAATGGAGGAATGCAAAGAAATATTCGACCCTCCCCTCTCCTGCACTCTATTCCCGGAGCCCGGAGCCCATGACGGACTGAAATTGCATCCATCGTATCTTCTTTAATGACAGTAGAATAATTAAGTAAAAAGTAATTAATTTGCCGTCTTATTTTGAACATTCAAATTGCAAACAAAAGTGCGGTTCCTCCCCCACGACGGTTGTTACGGGACTGATCGATAAGCTTGAAGCCAGCAGGTGTAATTGCGCTATATAAGTTTTAATTATTATTGTTTGTTATTTTTTTATTTTGTTTGTTTGTTTGTTTGTTTGTTTGTTTGTTTGTTTGTTTTAGTAAAGTGGGCACATGGCGAAATCACCCGGCTGGTCAATTAATTCTTTGGTGAGGAACCGGGAAACAAAAACTAAGCCCAAATTCAGTGTGTCCCTATAGCCGAAAGACATGTAGCAAGATTTTAAGATTCGTACCAGAGTAGGTTCAAGTGTTGCTGATGGAGTAGCTTTCTCTAAATATGTCTGTAGAGAAAATGATCAATTTAGAGTTTGATTTGTCTTTTTCTTTTTATATTCCTGACGTTTATTCTCATAATTCCGTATCATATAGTTTTAGATTAACACCTAGAGCTGTTTTGAGAAACTAACATTGTAGTACAAAAGTGCGTTAGCGCACACGACAGTGTCGAAAGGTATTATGGGTAATGGTGGTTTAATGTTGCTTGATTGAAGCTGAAGGTGTTTTACACAGCTTTGAAGCTAATGGTGTTTTAAACACGTGTATTAATGCTTCCCCTTCCTCAAGTTCCTGCTGAAACACCGTGAACTTCGAACAAACGACGGTTAACTATCACAACTAACGTGTATACAACTAGTTCTCCAAATACATTGATCATCAGCACTACCTGGTCTATAAAGTCTATAACTGGAGCGAAATTTAAGAACAAACCGGCCTGCACCCGTCTAACTAACTACGTTTAGGCATGCAATCTACATTTGTACTCAGATGATATATAGATTGATTACAAAGCTCGTACCTGAGTTGGATCAATAGTTACCGATACGCCAGCTTTCTCTAAATACGTCTGCAGAGAAATGGAAGAATCGATACAGCTATTTTTTATTTTCTTTTTTTTTTCTTTAGTATAGTAGTTTATTGTTGTAAGTTATCATTTTACATTTACATATACATCTAACCGAATTCGCAAAAACATGCCCGCATTGACTCAAAGACAGTCTCAGCGGCCAGAAGTCCTCTGACCACCCCCCTGGCTAAAAGATTGGCCCCTCACGCATGCACGTGGCATGGACCACTCCAGCAGGGTCCCATGTCAACACAGAAGTCTCAAACAAGGTTAAACAACTGAGTAAAATACCCCGAAAGACAGTCAATATCACGCTTATTTAACACTGAAGACTCAAGGTCTAGCTAGTTGGGGGTGTCAGTACAAGACACCCTCCCCTACCCCCTGCTTTTGACAGCTGGCCGCCAGCAAGCCACCAGCAGATAGGCCAGTCATTGGGCCATGTGCCCAGCCTGGCCTTAACGGAGCCTCCCCTGGGTTTAAGGTCGCTGGCCAGAAATCCAGGCGAAAACCTAGAGGGCATGTTTTTGCGAATTCGCTCAGACATACATTGGTCGTCAATTCTACCTTGCCCGAAAAATAAAAGTCCAACGCAGAGAGGAATCATAAACAATTAAGCCAGCGTACGCCAAGCTAAGCTCTTTGAGGCAATCTTCACTAAATTTTGTACCGGCCAATAGGGCTTACCAGAGTCGGGCTAATTTATAACTAAGTAACTGTCTTTAAAAGCCTCTGTAAAAAAGCAGTTAAGAGTCGACTGAGTTATACTTTTTGTCTCTGTTTTGTTTTGTTTATTAATTTATTTTTTACGGTTTTAGCTTTAATGATAAGGTGTATTGCATAACAGTATGTTGTACTCTGAAACAATAATTTTAACCTGCGATGTAGGGGAATCCTTGTTTACAATAATTGCCTTCTTAGCATGAACAATTCAGTTTCTGATAGAGCTACAATAAATCAGTTCAATTGAAACGTCATAGTGCGATTAACTCTGCCAATGAATACGAGCCTGATGTATTGAATACTTTTTGTGCAACACGGGTTTAAAAACTCAGAATTTTACAAAGACTGTATGAGCTCATTAGCGCTTTTGCCACACAGACATTTTGTAGTTTTTGAAAGACAATTTCTCCTTGAATATTACACCCAAAGAGCTAAAACTTCCACCATGTATTAAGTTTCACTTCTCTTTAGCTGCCTGGAGTCAATTTATATCTAACATGTTTCGTTCTGAATACAAAGCCGTATGCAAATGAGAAAAAATGTAAACAATGACGTCAGTTATACTTTCCCACGTGGAAAGAAGTATCCTGAACCGTGAAAGTAAAGTCAATGTAGCGAAACAACTGTTAATGATCTCGGCCAAGGCTCAAACCTCGTGATTGTCACTAATGTTTAAGCCACCTTGCTTCCCTTTCTTGTAATAATGTCCAGGTAGTGCTGCTCTTACCGTAGACAGAATGGTTACTGCTACAGATGAAGTAGTAGGATATATCGTTGACAAAAAGATGGGCTTAGTTGATCTATCTACAGGACCTGCCAATGAAAAAAAGATAATTTAAAAACTCTAGAACAGCCTGTCAACTATATAGAATTGACGTTAAGATAAAATCACACACGCTATACATACATGTAAAGCTTCCCTCTAGTTTGAATATGAGACAGCCTTCCGCGATAGGGATCGGCGGATTGCACGTGATGCCCAGGTTGATGACCCTTCCTCGGAAAATGTGATCAACTGTGTTATCAACCTGTCTCAGTAGAAAGAAATACCAAGTATATTTAGGATCAGAAGATCACCTCGAAGATCACCTCTTTCTTTTTCTCTTTGAAACCATATACACGCTGCCGATTATTATTATTGCTAACCAATGAAAATCGCCCTATTACTTTTTGCCCCCGAAAAAGGAAATTCGGATTGCAATAAGCTTCTATTAGAATAATCACAATTTTATCATAAGTAGATTATGCTTGAAGTGTTTTAATGATCGCTTCTTCTCAGAGATCAATTTTCAAATATCTGAATTGCAATAATAACTTCTTTTTGGCTATTTTCGTGTTTAAAAGCGTTCGTGTGTGATTGCGAAAGTAATATCATGGGTGACTCGTGAAAATAAGAAATAATTTCACTTCCGTGTTGCCAAAATTCTAATAATTTCCCTTGCCTTGTCGCCATTTGATTATCCACACTTATCTGCATGATGGGAGCACAAATTTAGAACACTATTCCACATCTGCGGAAGGACAGTTCTTCTTTACTTGCCAACTTGAAACACAACGCTTCGTAGCCATTTTCTTTTGTCAGCAAGCTTAAGGGCCAGTGAAAGCCAGCCAAAACATAACATTCCTTACTTCGCATGAGTAGTCGCGAATACAAACTCCAAATGTTTTAAAGATTCCAACAAAAACTAAATCAACTCTCACCTTAATGAAGTAAGGCCTATTAGTCGATTTGTTTTCAGGAGTCCGCTGAAGAAGAAACATTTCCTTTGTTCTATTGGAGTGAAGTCCAAGAACCTTTTTACCATGACATCCGATGAACCAGGAAGAACTGATATTTATAGTACAAAAGCCCTCAGGATTTCTCAGCTTTGTTTTCCTCGGAATATTAGCCACAGGGCTGAGCGTGCGTAAATTGTGTTTCGTCATTTCACCAGCAAATAAGGTCGCATTTACCTCACAGCCTATTCCCAAAAGAGAATAATGGCATGGGTTTAGTGGTTGGCAAGAAAACAACACGAGTTTTGTTCAGTATAAATGAAAACGTAACCATTGACATCTCGTGACATGCAGCACCCGTATAGTCCTACTATTTATATAATCCTTATTGTACGCTTCCCTAGGGTCAAGTCTAATATGTAGATTTAGCCAAACCTAAAAGCGCAGCTTCTGATTACAATAAGTTAACTTGGCTTGAGCCGACGATCCAATCGAAAACCAGTGCCTGGGAAGCAGTCAATTTCAAAAAACACATAACCTCGAAGAACTCTAAATCTGAGCCCGCGATATGGTCACGTGATACTGATCAGCGGATACCTCGTTTTGACAAGTGTCAGTTGACCATAACATGGAAGCCCCATATTGAAGATGCACGCTGTAAACCCAAGACTGCACGCCTTGATCGACCTATTACCTGGGGTCAGGAGCCGCTGGAGTATGGCTGCCATGTTGGGCATTAAAAAAGAATTGCATGCACGGGTTCTGTTCCTATAGTTATGGTGCTCCTTCTGGCCGCCAGAACTTCGCTATATACAGTCCTTACTGTACACTTCCCTAGGCTAAAGTCTATTACTCCAGTGCGGGGTAGGTCTGATGTCAAAGACGCAATTAATGAAACGCATATTGGCCACAGTCCCCATAAATGTTTGGATCATTGTCCACCCCGGGTTTGAACAAAATGAAGGTTTGAGCTGCCATCCTTTCCTTTTGGAATATTTTCAGAAGTGGATTAGACGACCTCAGGCTTCCAATCAACGAAATTTGATTAAAAACTTAGTTTATCTGACGCGTTCTCCCTAGCCAGTCATGTGAAAACCTGATGAACATGATTATCAGAACTCCGGAGTACACTTGCAGTAACTATAAGCTTAATGAGTCGTCAAAACAATTTTGAACACACTCACAATGCGTTTAGGTAGGAAGATCACTTCCAAGGGCGTAAAATTAAATCTCCATTTTAACAAGTTCGAAACCGTTACCGAATCTTCCCACCGAAAGTTTAGATTTCAATTTTCGGATATTCTGAGACCGAAGAAGCTAATAACAAGTCAATACTTATCATTGATGAATTAATATATGGCTAAATGATCATGAAGAGTCGATAAGAGCGAAGAAATCTCAAAAATATGTGGCGATATATGTATAGTAAGTGTGCGAAACAAACATAAATATTTATATTATTCATGATTTCTGAAGCAAACCTTTCACTATCAGTGTTATTTCAGAACAATCAAATAACCATCCGAGGATGAATATCATTGATCTACTATTTTACAAATGAAAAGCAAATTACTCACCGAGTTCTTTTCGCACCTCTTTATTTTCCAGGCATCTCCATCTGTTTTCAAAATATGTTAATGTTGAATTTTTCTGGGAGCAGGAGCACAAGTAACGACCGTGATTTCCTTTTTCATCTATGGAACACGACGTATTGCAATAATTCCCATATTCACTGTTTTCTCCGTAACATACCGACTGAGGTATGTCAAACGAGTCTACGCCATTTTTCCACCATTTTCGTTTCCCATTTGGCCGATCTAGAGTCCTGATAATTTTGATAGTTTCTGGCAACGTAGTGTCGATGTAAAATAAAAATGTTACCAAGAACTTCGCATGTGATATCTTCATGTCTCCAATACAAACATATCTTTGGCACGAAGGCCTTTCTGATTGTCCAGAACTAGTAAGGTTTTTATCAAGATTGAGAGCAGAAAACCGAGCTGCCAGATGATATTAATTCACCCTTTCGTCTTACTGAGTTTGCAGGAAGAGTTTTGACACTTTTTACCGCTTATACGTACAGCCTGTAACTCTGATTTCGAAACATCGCCGTTATCGCTCCCGTCGTCATGCCTGAGCCGAATACGCTTTCAGCAATAGGCTTTGTTCCTAATGAATAATTTCAGCTACTTTCGATCCATATTAGAAACTGAAAATTTACTTCCGCAGGTTTCGTAACAAGGCAATTAAGGCTCCTTAACAAGGCAAGA